GCACCTTAGGCTCGGAGCCGAGCACCTTAGGCTCGGAGCCGAGCTCCTTAGGCTCGGAGCCGGGCTCCTTAGGCTCGGAGCCGAGCTCCTTAGGCTCGGAGCCGAGCTCCTTAGGCTCGGAGCCAGCTCCTTAGGCTCGGAGTCAGCTCTTTAGGCTCGGAGTCAGCTCTTTAGGCTCGGAGCCGAGCACATTAGGCTCGGAGCCGAGCTCCTTGGCTCGGAGCCAGCTCCTTAGGCTCGGAGCCAGCTCCTTAGGCTCGGAGCCAGCTCCTTAGGCTCGGAGCCAGCTCCTTAGGCTCGGAGTCAGCTCCGAGATGCTTAGGCTCGGAGCCTTGTCTAAATTGCTTTCTCTCTTCCGATATAAGCTTCCTTATTGTTGTGTTTTACTCATTTGCTTCCAAACCGTCGAACAGAAATGATCAATCTTCTAAGGCACAAGCCATTTCTTGAATTGTTGGGCACGTCTGAGCCTGATCAACAACAAGCACTACTGGAAACAGCAACCGCCGAGCAAGTACACTGCCTGTGTATCTGTGTAGAAAACGTTATGAAAAGAAAATATTTAATGTCGAAGCATGTAATGAAGAAACTCAGACCTTACAGACATGAAATGCTTAGGTTGGTAGATAGAGGAAAATGTGGAAGAAGAAAAAAACGGATACTCATTCAACATGGTGAAGGTTTCCTTGGACTATTACTAAGTCCTATTTTGGAAAGCCTGGCTGAACTTGTATAAAAGCCCTGTGACTACAAATTATACATCATTTCAACAATGAACATCGAGAGTAAAACATCTCCGCGACATTGGCGCATTGAAGATATACTTTTGTATCTGAACAATAATGTCAAAAAAACTACAGCAGAAAAAATGCTACATTCTATTCTTATATCAAGTGATATTTTAACTTGGAATCCTCAGGGTGAGATTGTTTATCATGGAAGAGACATTCCTGGTACTAACATCGAGAACTTTTTACAATACGCACTTTTACCATACAACTCTCACATTCCTGAACCACGAGGGCCCGACCTGTTTACAAAAGGTCTAGTAGAAGCAGGGGTTAATAAAGATTTAATGAAAAATGAGTATTTATTGTCAAAAATGGCAAAGGAGGAACATGAAATGCCACAATCTGAGAGTGATGTTGAAAGCGAATCTGGTGAAGAGAACAGGGAATCTGACAAAGGTGATAATGAAAGCGAATATGATGATAATGAGGATGATGATAATGAGGATGATGGTGAGCCCGAGAAACTAGCTTGTAACCATTGTGGAGAAGAGACTGGTCACATTGTATACTTAATGAAGTGCCCAAGATGTTCGTGGAAAGATTTCTACTGGGGCAAAGACGCTCAATGTATGATATGTGATGAACAGTCACCTCTACTGTTTTCGCATGTCATTGGTTTCTGCGAGCTATGTTCGTATGGTACGTCTAACAGCAAGGCGGGCGGATTGGAGTTCACACCAAAAATGGACAAATAAAAGACCCAGCAGATTGGACCGAACGTGACCTAGCGCGAATGACTCCGGAAGCAAGAGAGGATTATGAACGTTTTATATTGAGCGATAGACCGAAATATATTCCAATGAAGCCGGAAAAACTTGCAAAGTTACTCCCCAGAAGATAGACAAGAATATGCGAACTCTTTAAAAATAACAAAAAACACCTAGACGTTACGCTCTTAGAAGTAGACCGTACTAAATTTTGTATAACGTTCTGAAGAAATAAATGTGTTTAAAAACTGAAATATTGTGTAATTTCTTGCCGGCAAAGCCCGCTCTTTCCGCCCGCGCGAAAAGATCCGTGTACAAATATGTTGTACGTTAATATATGCATGCACCCGCAAAGCCACGCGCCTGATTTTAAGGTATACACCTGCGTTAAAAATAATCCCTATCTATCCATCGGGATACACTTAGTTATGCAAATTCGTATTACCTTAATCCCCTTAATTACCTACACGCCTCCTAATGACTTAGCAACGCATAACAACGCAACATTTGCAAAGTATAAAACATGTTTATTGATACAAATAACAGACGATATTGTCAAAAAATATTACAACTAAAACTATTTGTTAAACTGTTCTATAAGTTTTTTCTCCATGAGTTCTTGATAAGCTTTCTTATGATCTACCTCAAAACTTCTAAATCGTTCACCCGTCGCCTTCACATAATACATGTAACTCGGTGGGTAAGAGAAAAACGCTTCAGCTACGGACTCGAGTGGGTCTTCTAATCTCCAATGAAACAAATAGTTCAGTATACATTGTAGTTCGTGGTTCTCAGTGTTCTGATGTAGTTCCAACAATGAATCGACAAACGTAGAATCTGGATCTTTTTCCAGTTGCTGTAAATGTTCGAGTACATCTCTATCAACCGCCAGTTTTAGTACCCTCATTGCCTCAGCGAATTCATTCCAAACCATACGCTTACCATTCACTCGTTCGATCGCTTGTAAACCATACATTTGCCATCGTTCGTTTTCGTTCATCATGAGGCAGTCATGTTGTCTTTGACTAGGATGACCGACTTGACAACCATTACAGGATTCCACACAAAGTCTTGCAACTTCTTGTGCGACTGCATTCGCAAATATTCCTTCCAATAAATTGTAAGATGTGGTTTTACCGTGTAGACACGTCATGACTGATGTGGAACAAATATAGACGGTGCTTGTTACAAGACGCTTGTCGATTTTATACAGACGCTTGTATAAAAGTTCATAGTAAGCCAACATTAATCCCTCAATTGTATCATACACGTGGGGATGCTAAAAAATGCGTAGTCAGCAAGTCTCGCCCGATCGTGTTCAAGCTCGCCCGCGTGACGTCATTGCATACAATTATGACGTATGTTAATGAGTGACGTCACTACTCCTCCTCGCTCCTCCTCACTCCTCCTCCACACTCCACCGCCGCACTCCGCCGCCGCAAAAATAAGGCCCGAACGGCCTCTATATTACTACTGAGTAACGACCGCTGACACACATTTTCAACACGATTGTGGACTCGTATTTTGCAAATAGGCGGGAATTTTATTCAAAACACTAGAAAACAGTGAAAAATATACAAGAAAATAAGGAAAAACCGCCACAAAAATCATAAAAGAATGCAGTTTTTCCTTGAGATGCCCACGTTAAACCAAGGTAATGCTGTTTGGCAATTATATATCAGTGTTTCTTGGTGTAATGGACCATACTTCGTCTTCGAGAAATCGTCCTGTGCAAAAATATGTTCTGTTTTCGTAAAAACACCAATGCGATAGCGTTTGAAGAGTTAGGGAAGATAGCGACTGAAAATCTCAGGTAACCGTTGCTTTTCATTGTTGTTTTATTGAAAAATGTTGTTCACTCCTATACGAACGCCATTTTTAACTACGTTTTGGACAGTTAACTATACCCTATTAGCATAGTTAACTTTAACTACTTTTTAACTGCAGTTAAGGCTAACTACACATTTATACAACCGGCTTAACTACGTGATTAAAGTTAACTATTTTTTAAGGCTTTTTAACTGCTTTTTAACTGCAGTTAGCGCTAACTACGTTTTTATACAACCGGCCCCAGATCTATAAAATTTCATAAATTTGAGTTTGAAATAACTATAAAATAAATTCAAATTCTTGCGTGCAAATAACTTTGCTTTCTTTTTATTTAAAGATTTTAATAGTAAAAAAGGATAATCAACAAAAATACACTGAAATTATATGCGGTCCTTTTTCGTTTAAAAAAATAGTACGCAACGATCTGCAGCTTTTAAAACAATTATAAAGCAAACAATAGCCTACATCAATATTTAAAACAAACTTACCTTCGTTAACGTCGGCGCCTTCGCTCCCTTCTTTAGCAATTCTTTCGGCCTTTTTATTTTCTCAAAAAGCTTTTGAAATTTATACAATCTTGCAAAAATGAAATATATTTGCAAGAAATCATCAAATCAAGAAATGTTTGCTATTTCGCTGTCGTCATGCAGTCGTTATAATGCAAATTTCAAATTGGACAATCAGTGCATGTTCGCTATTCATGACAGTCCGCTATATTATGAGATCAGTTAGGATCACTACCCACCCAACTACGAATCACGCACGGTTATCCACGCTCGCGATCATTGACGAACGTTAGACTTCGCTAATGCCCCAGAATATTACACAGAAGGCCATCTCCATTGTTTTTGCATAATCACTATTCGTCATAATTTAATTGTTACTCAGCTGCAAGTACTTTAAATATACCGCTGGAAATATTCAAAACGGCGCTGTGTTGGAGAAAGTGATAAATCATGACGAATAGCGCCTGAGTGACAAATCATGACGAATAGCGCTTACGCAAAAAAACAATGTAGATGGCCTTTTTTTCTTTTTTTTATTAATATTTAATTTCAGGAAGCTTTCGCACAAAGTGATTTTCAGAGAGGTCCTGAACTAAATAAACTATTATACAAGGAAGACATGCATATACTACAAAACTAAGAAAAAAATTAAAAAATCATACGAGGAAAAGTTCAAAGATTGCTAAAAAAGTTTCTCTTAAATGTAGAAATACTAGTAGATAGTTTTATATTTCTGTCCAAGTTGTTCCAGTCTGTTATGGCCTGATAAGCGAGTCTTTGGTTTCCCCAATTCCTTGACACTTTAGGTGGCCTTAAATTGTCCTTATATCGCGTATTGTTGTTGTGTATTTCTCTGTTCGCTAGAAGTTCAAATCCATGTGAAGTATGATTATTTAGACACTTAAAAACAAATAAACATCTATGATACAATCTGCGTTGTTCAAGAGTGGTCCAGCCTAAAGTGTTTAACGCGTCGGTTGCCGATGAAAAATATGGTCTATCTAAAACAATCTTGGCGGCTTTGTTCTGGAGTATCTGAAGATTTTTCATTTACACTGTATTATTTTTGTCTCCCCATATAACATCCGCGTAGTCAAAGATTGGGAGTACGAGACTGTTATAAAAAAGGATTCGTGCATTAAAATGCATGGCGCTATGTTACGAAGAGTGATGAAGCATACGAAGAGAGTAATGGGCACCCAGATCTAGTAAATACTGCTGTTCCGAAGACCAGTAAGGCGAGCATAGGAAAGAGAAACCTTAGAGGCAAAGCGGTCATCAAAACTCAAACTAAAACGAAGAAGAAACCAAAGCGAGCAGGAAAAGCAAGAAAGAAGCGTCTAACGCCATTAGATGTGTCAAATTTAATTTTGAGCAAGAACATCAAGACAGAAACGGAACTTCACGCACTTGCACAAGAACAGCGGGAACAGGGAAAGACAGATGTTGTTGAGTTTATTTTAAATAGGTCACCTAAAACTCTAGCAGACATACTTAGCACGACATGGCAGATGAAAGGGGCGCGAGAAAAGATTGCACGATCTAAGAAGAGTCGCATGGATCTCCTTCAAGAAGCTTCAAACTCAGATTGTGTTTCTGGATGCAATGGTGATTGGCTGCAGTGTGCGAAAGAGGTTTTGCAGAACAATGGCATAAATATATCTTGTTTTGCTAATTCAGTACGAGAAAGCCTAACTAATGGTCGCAAAAAACATCATAATGTAATGATCGTTGGCCCAGCTAATTGCGGAAAGACCTTTCTCCTTAAGCCACTAAAGGTCGTGTACCATACGTTCTGCAATCCAGAAACTGGAAGTTTTGCGTGGGTCGGAATACAAGATGCCGAGTGCATATTTCTTAATGATTTTCGCTGGAGCCCCCAAGTTATACCGTGGCACGATTTGTTGTTGATGTTAGAGGGGGAAGTTGTTCACCTACCAGCTCCGAAAACCCATTTTACGCAAGATATCGAGTTCACGAAAGACACTCCTATCTTTTGTACGAGCAAGCGACCATTGATTTTCATCAAGAATGGCATAGTCGATGACCGTGAGACCGACATGATGGGTGTTAGGTGGAAGGTTTTCTGCCTTAACTATGCGATACCTTTAGAACAGCAGCGGCAAGATATCCTGCCATGCCCAAGATGTTTCGCAACATTAGTGCTTCAATTGTAAATAAAGTCAGAGACAAAAACAAACATATTCATTTGACAGTATTTTACCGTTTTGTGATTATAAAATAATTCTTATAATCATATTATGTATAGTAATAAGCATTGATATTTGTTGCATATTTTGTTTACCGTGTTGAATCGCGTAATGTTTACCGTAGCGTTTGTCTATCTCTTAACCTTTTAACGCATGATAGAAAGAAGCTTGTGAGAATTATTTTATATGTAGTTGTGTAAAAACTGTATGCGATTATAGTATTATGAAACATATTAATTCTAAACGCTTATATTTAAAATGCCCACGGTAAACATTGAAAAGCGATAGTTGCAGAATAATTAAGAATCATTGAGTAATTATATTTATAATGGGAGTCCTCCGATGTTTACCGTGATATTTTGCTGTTTATTCCAAATATTTACTGTGTATTATCATAAGTACAATGTAGATCCGTTTGGCTATAAGAAAGCATGTGAAATAGAAATTTATTGGCAAGTGTGGCAGTGACAGGTTAAATTTCATGGCGTGTGTTTACCGTCCGGCGAGAAGTCCGAAAAGCAAAATATTTTGTTTACCGTGTAAGTTAGCGCGTAACCTCCATTATAACCAATACGGCCACAGATATAACAAGCAGATTATGATAAAGATTTAATTCTTCAATTTTGTGCTAAAAATTTACACATTAAGAGTATTATCAGAATATGCTCACTATGCTTATTAAGCATGTATACATTACAGGCTATATATATAGTGTGTGTAAAATATTTTGACTACTGTGTATTATCCGTATAACAGTAAATAATATGATACTAATTGTTAATATAGTTGAAAGTTACTGTTTTTAGTCAGTATTTCGATCTTTTCCCTCTTGAGGATCTAATTTCCTCAATTCGTTTTGGCATGCTCCCAATTGTTTTGTCAATGGTCGTGATTTTAAATGTGTTGAGACAACGCAGGACACGCGTCTTAAATGCATCAAAGGATTCTTTAGTGATATTCTTTTCTATCGCTTCCCTGTGCAGTATTTTTTTCACCAAAAGAAACACGTTCTCGATAGGATTAATATCTGGAGAAC